AGCTATATTTAGATGGAAATGAAATCGGCGGTGATCTGCACTGGAACGGGCGCTTGTGGTTCGTCGGTTGTGGTGTCATGTGAGTGTGCGATTGTGTGGGAATGGTATTGCTGTGTATTTGTATTTTATTTTGTCATACATTATGTACGATGCTTATGCTGCATCTGTTCTGTAAAAGTCATCAAATATTTGTGTGATTATATAGTTTGGTTTGTTAGAAGCTGTGTATTGTAATGGATTCATAGTATGTATGTAGTTCATGGATAGAAGGATTCATACTATAAGGTACTTCTACTAGATTGACTTGGTGGAAGGTAGGTAGTATATATTGAATCTGGATGAAGGATTTTTTATCTGTTATCCTGTTACTCTAATCATTCAATGCCGTGATAAAGATTAATGATATTAAAAAAATGACTGGAATTAGTATACATTTTCGTAGTAGTTACGAACATTCAATATTTATATGGATTATCCGGAAAACTAATAACGACTGCCCGAGTACTCACCCCAGCCTTGTGATATATACACATATGTATGGTATAGTATATATAATGTATAAAAGGGAGCATAAAGAAGACTATATTCTGAGCATATTTGCTTCCTTCCTATGTCAAAGATCTCGCAGCGTATGTAACAAGTAGCGATAATACTAGACACTACTATACGTATCAATGAGCTTGCCATCTATGGTGTGTAGCTCACATGAATGGCGAGCAAACGAGCAAACACTACTAGTAACATAGCGAGGAGCCACTGTGCTAATAAGTGGTCGTTCGAGCATAAAGATAGGGTTTCACAGGAAAAGCAGTGTAAAGATGGATCCATCTCACCCAGAAAGAAGATCACAGGGTAACTGGCTGAGTCTAAATCACTGCCAATGCATTTGGCAGATTGCTACTTGGACATCCTCTGACCATCTTAATATCTCTCGATGTCTTCAATAAAATTTATAGGTATCCGCACAAGACATTATGATATCATGTATATACAATAAAGTGCGCCCGTCGCTTAACACGGGTCACACCGAATATTTACAGGAAGCGAATGCTGCTCATCACCTAAACCATGCTCTTGAAGCTGGGAGGTGATTTAAGGAAACTTGCAATCGACGGCAAAGACTTCAGCTTCGGAGTCTGTGGCCTCTCATCGTCCATTGGCGGTAACTCCGGACTCACGCAGTTCGAGTAGAACCGCCCAAGGTCGCCGTCAGATGTGGATTCACATGGCGATGTGGGAGTCGCTGGACGCGGAGAGCGAGGGACGTGATCTGTCGAGATGCTGATGTTGTTTCCGAGATACTGGGCTTGGTTCCGTATGGGTTGTGCGGAGAAACATGCCCGAGGGACGAGGCCTTCTTTGTTTGTTTCGAGGACGGTGACCAGTGCCTGAGTATGTTAGCTAGAGTTATAAAGTAGGCTATACAAGGTTGGTGTCTTACCCATCCGTCTTCGTACACTAGGTGCAGGATAGCTGTTTGCCCCTCCTTCAGCCCAATGTGCTCAGGGCTGACAGGGCGGAAATCCATATCGACGCGATACACACGTGCCAATGAAATCGGTGGTGCTCCAGGAGAAGTGGGTATTTCAATAGTAGGAACCTCAATTGTAGGACTTCTAGAAACTGTCGGGGAACTGGAGTTGGTCGATGTTCCTCGCGAAATGGTTTCTACTGTTGCAACATTGGCCTCTGGAATCCTGCCAGTCTCTTCTCTTGGAGGAGTGTTGGACACGGTGACTTCCTTGATTCTGCCCATGTCTGCCCCGACTAATGTCTCAGTCGAGGAATGTAGACCTCGCAATGCGGGATGAATGTCCTTGTTATCCTTGTTATTGTTGTTGTTGCTGCTGCGCGCCTGAGGCAGAGACAAGTATGACCGATGAATTTGGCGGAAGCCATCTCTTATCACACTGTCGGGATCGTGCATGTACTCAGAAGCAGGGCGCGGAACATGTACGTGCGACTTCTGCCAAGTAGACCGTGCAATGTTGGCAGCTGTACGCAGCATTCCGCGGCCATTGGCATACACCTTGAGTGCCAAGTCTTTGATCGGTTTGTACTCTGACTTGGGAGCTCCAGGAAGACGCACTGAACTAGAACGAAGACGCGATCTGGTGGATTTGAACTTGATGGTTGATACACCATTGCAGAAGCTGCTGGCGTACCTCTTCATCATAGAGGGTTGCGGTGGGCTAGGGTCTGGTTTCTCGTCCCTGGCCTTGTTACCAGCTATCGCCTTTTGCAAGGCACGCTTCTTCCGGTGCAATGACCACACGAAGAATCCTAGGATGGCGACGACCGCCACTGCGACACTGAGGCCGATAGCCAACTTGGTAGACAGGGGGGTAGGGCCATGCGAGGTACCTCCGGCGGAGGCCGCTGTTGTTGTACTGGCGGGCGTTTCTTTTTCGGTAGTGCTCGAGCGGGTGGGTGTGCTATTGCTGGTTTTAGAAGTGGTCGATGTCATTGTCGTCCAGCTGGCTGTTTGTGTGGGAATGGCCGAAGTCTCCCATGTTGCGCTTACAACAGATGGAGACGGCGAGTTTGGAACATATTGACTAGTCCACGAGTCGGTATTGCCCTGGGCACTGTTGGCGGAACTCCCTTCAGACCACGATGAAGCTGAGTTTTCTGTCGAAGCAACAGGACTGGCTTGGGCGGCAGCACCGCCTTGAGCTCCTGCATTGGAGGCACCGCTCGAGCCTGAGCTTCCTGTGCCCGCGCTTCCTGAGGACATATCGCCTGACTGCCCCGATTGTTGACCGTTTGAACCTTGCTGACCGTACGAATTGCCCGACGAATATCCTCCGTGCCACTGACCGTCGTCGTAGGTAGATGACGAGCCTCCGTACGAAGAATACGGGACGGCGGAAGCTTGAGCTATTTGAACATCCCTTCGAATTGCACCAGAGGTGCGGGTGGATATGGCCTGTCGCATGGTTGTAGATCACTAAGGTCGCACAGAGGATCAAGCATGTAGCACGACGTGAACAGATGGGGCTGGGGAAGAGAAGAAGAATTTGAGTTATATGGCTGCATGTTGAAGTGATATGTATTTAACAGGTCTGATATGATTATTGACGGTCGATCCATAGCGATGGACTGAACAACAAACTGCCCCCTTTGGTGCTGTTAGCTTAAGCTGGGAAGCTGGATGTACATCAGTGGGACTGACTCGTAGATTGGGTTGTTTGTTGTTTTGCTTGGTATGTCGGCTGTCCATTCTTGGGGGGAAAGAGGCATTCCACCAGGCTTGCTCCCCAGTTCATTGGCTCTCAGTGAGTAGACAGGTGAGAGAAGAAGGGTGTATCCGCGGAGTATTAGCCGGGGAGACTGCTCGGGAATTTTGGCGTCGTCTGGTCGGCGTGAGATGGAGATGTTGAGTTGGCGGAAGACAACACCAGCACCGCACCTCTAGCTAGTTTGTCTACCTCAGTCTTCCCTCCAATTTCCTTGACTAGTCGGGATAAAAGTCAATGGCACAATCCCTAAGAATGCGAGTCTATCGCTAAAGAATCCAGGTACATGCAATTGATGTCACTCCTCTCTTTCCTCCCATCTATACTTGTATAACCTAAACCCATCCAGCTTACAACATAAACTATCCCTTCAGAATCGACTCTGTCCAACTTGAATTAAATGAAGATGAACATCTCATCCATGGAACCGATCAACTAGCACCTCATCAACCTTCCATCTCGCAACTCACTCGCCTCCTTGTCAAGAATGTCCACACATTCCTCTCTGCCCAGCCACCAGCCACCACAATAGCTGAATTGACGTATACAACCTAAGAAGTGCTGGAGGGTAATAAGCTTGTTTTCTTCCAGTAGGTCAAGGAAGAATGCATGCACCTAGCTTTGCTGGTGTTTACATCCTACCCTATCCTACCCTACCCTATACGCTCCCTACCATTGACCGTAGAAGAAGCTTCTGGAGATCCCAAATATAACCTATCACGACGCCACCCTCTGTTAGACACATTGCTAGTGCCAGTAATTGTTTTCTAGACAAAAACACAAATCAGTAGGCATAAGTAGCAAAGAACAGTCGAGAATAGGAACGGTATCCTTATACAATGATATATATACTACATTTACATTTACCCTAATTATCACTATATACCTTTGCTCCCGACCAATTGACCTACTACTACAGTCACTCACCACTCCGAATACTACTGATTTTATCTCTCTTCTATTGGGAAACAACCCAACCCCAAGTCCCATCCCACCCTCACTCCCTCCCACCACTAACCTAACCCTGATTGAACCACCACCTACAAATTGGACATCCCAAATAAGCACCCATCCAAGACACGTCAAACGCCGAAGAATGCCAACGAAATTAGACTACAGAATCCACCCACTCCATCGATATAGGTACACTTTACTTCTACATAACCTGTTCTACGCCACATGCATACATACGAACATTCCTCGGCTGAGTGATGTCTTTTACTTATTTACCTAACTCTTCGGATAATGTAGACTTGTGTACCCCTGGATTAGGTGATTACTGGGTGGGTGAGTGAGTGGGTGGGTATCTTGGGGGGAAGGGGTTTCTGCGGTGATGGGTGGGAATGTTGATGTGCTAGTTTGTTGTGTTGTGTTCTGTGTTTGTTTTGGGGGATGGATGTATGGATGTACTCTGTAGTAGTAGTGGTTGTTTGGGTTGGTAATAATAAGTTGTAGAAGGTAGGAATGATGACAGTTAGCTTAGGATATGTGATCGAGTTGGGTGTGAAGATAATTAGTATTAACTAGGGGTAGTAGTTTCAGGGGTCTCTCGTTACATAACTATTACTAGTAGTCCTATGTCGGGTGTGATATATATGTTGTGAAGTAGTAGCAGAGTGTGATATATATAGTGGCCTACTGTGCCAAGCAGGTGTTCATCTTAATATATTCCAAATCACTCAATTCCATCCATTAAACAATTCATCAACTATTAGGGTATAAATATATCGCCTGCACGCTATTACGCTATAAAAGGACATGCTAAACCACCCTCACCACACACTCAATTCCTCGTTTCCTCAAGTCCCCATCAATATTCCGAATCTCCTTTACATAATATGGCTGCCTCGGCAGCTGCAACTTCCATCGCTGTCGCAGATGCAGCTCCCGCAGCGGTTCCAAGAACACCGGGATCTTTTCCACCGGCTCACAGAACCAGCTCCCGCTCAGCTGCAGCGTAAATGCCTGCAAGCCCTGCATGTGCGTGAGAGCCAGACAGGTCTCGACCCACTGCTGCCGGCCAGCGGAGAAGTAGACCGACTTGACGGGGTCCTTGCAGGGGAGCCAGTGGCCCGGGAACGCCCAGCGGAGCTCGACTTCGCGGATGGCGTCCCAGAAGTCGGCCGGGATGGTGGGTCGCAGGTATGTCAGCGACCAGGTATTGCTGAATTCAAAGGTGTTGAGCGAGTAGAGCATATAGATAGACTCGCAGTAGCTGAGCATGATATCAGTATATTAAGCTACGTAGTAGATGTAGAAAAAGACTTACATCTGTTTACATGTCATCGACAGCGCCAGCAGACCGGCCGACACTTTCATGCCTGGAAGTCCACCGCGACAAATGTCGCATGCGCTGGTCTGAGGACAGACTATATGTCCCATTCGCCGGTTCTGACGCTGTACGATGTGGATGCGCATGCCACCCAGGACCATCTCCCAGATCATGAGTCGCAGCTCGGGAGATAGCCTGGCCAGTAAGGCGCTTTGCGACTGGATGGCCCATTCTGTTCTGGTGTCGGGTTTAGAGGACATCCGTTGGCTTTGAACGGCGCTGTATCGACGTGACCTGGGGAGCCCGGAGGGTTTGTTGTCTGGTGAGCGATGGGTGGTTAGTGTGTTACCAGAATGTGGAGAATGACTGGTAACTGGGATATACGTACTCTGGTAACGATGCGCCAACACATCCTCCCAAGAAAACACACCCTGCTTGGTGCGCGCCATGGCGTCGGGCGTCGTGATATGGCACGTGGACAAAGAACGAGATGGAAAACAATCAATGAAGCACAAGTATAAGCACAAGGCGGGATCAACCCGTCAACAAGCCATGGTGTCAAAGTAAGAGTCGAGATGGGTCACAAGTATGCGCAATGATCTGAGAGACACAGATCAACGTGAGGTAGGAAATGGAAATCGATCACGCGAGATCCGGGGTGAAGGACAACAGTAGGCGATGGAGAGGGGAAACCGACAGTAAGCGCCAGGCTTAACCGAACAGATCCATGGCGAGGAAGAGAGACACTGTTGGGGGTGGCAGATATCAACAAAAGACAGCCTCACCGGAGAAGATCATTGTGCCGGTTAGAACAGGTCATAAGCAAAGTAGATCCGAGAAAGTCGGTGAGATGCAGCGAACTATTTGGTCAGGGGCTGGCGGTGGTTTAAATGCGCCGGCGGGAGATAAACCACGATAAGTCCCTCGAGTCTCTCCGATAAGCTGTGCCGGAGACAGTCGGAGTCTGAGAAACTGTTTCCGCTGGCACAGATCAGGCGGAGTTACTTGCAAATAGTATGACAGCCCGCCAGGTCATCAGGCAGCCACTATCTCTCTGTCCAACGCAGGGCGTCTTTCCTTCCGACGTTTAGGGACTGGTCGGGCTGCGCTGGCCCGAGGTCCACCCCGTATACAAGTATCTCTCCCGGTCTGGATCTTTACTATTGTACCATGGATATGTTTCCCCGCATTGAATGATTAAACATTTGTCCTTCTATACTCGTTTACTTTAGTCGATATATCTCTCTATATATTCATCTGGAGATATGCTACATCCTGCCGTAGCCCCGTCCATCATTTCTCCCCCTTAATATGCACCCACACCAAAAGAACCGCCCCTAACACACTGCAGCACGCCATTGCAACCCCAACACAATGTGGATGTGTTACGACTCTGTTATACGCGACAATGACCGAATGGTACAGTTCCACCGGCACATGACTTACGAGATCCGTGGCACCAGCGTTGATCACCGTCCCTGGGTCAATAGAAGGTACTCCGCTCGCGAGGTTCCGGACTAGCTGGTCCGTGATAGTTTGTCGCTACGGAGGCCACCGTTGCCTCTACAGATTTCTCGAAGGACATGATGATCGAAGTGCCCAAAGCAATACTGCCAGGGGAGCACTGTCTGACTTGGCCAAATTCCGATTGCAGAGCGAATCCCACACGCAGTCCGAGGATCACCTGATAGCCAATCCACTTGGGGGTCTCGAGTCGGCCTCAATATCTCGGAAGCCGGATGTCAATGGACATGAAGACACCCGCCAGATAGTTTAACAGGACGTAGTAGCCGGTCACGGACGTCAATATACCAACTGAGACGGAAGCGACAATAAAACCAAGTCATCGGAAGGTTCATGATACCGGTTTGATGGCACTTGCTCTTTTGATAGATGGAAACAGCTAGGGAGCTATATCTGTCAGCAATGATTTCATATACATCAGATGGGTTTCTTATATAATCAAGCAACATATAAAAGCACCCCTCGACGCGAGCACCAAACAGTCTGACGAGGAAGAGGCGAGGTCGAGGCCAAGGGCGAAGAACAGGAGCTTGGTCGTGATGGAATATTGATTTCATCATCACCAAATTGGCCGAGACCATGAAACCATTCGTCTTTTTAGCCACAGCAGAAGTCATGATGTGTCTCTTGAGAGGTTTCAGTAATCGCTTTCTCCGTTTAGCGAGCCGCCAGTTCCATTACGGAGAGGAATAGCTTGACACTGTAGAGACAAATCATGAACACATATGAAGACCAGTCAATCAACTAATGAGATTCAAGATGATAGATGAAGAAGAGAGATTATGGTAGATGATGAAGAATTGCTCGTGCAGCACTAGTAATCTCAGACGGGCAAGGCCTAGCATGAGTGCGCATGACTTATGCTGGCTCTTTCGATGCATCTTCTATTCAGCTGCACAATTGGCTAGTAAGCAGCTTTGTGTGATAACTCTATATTCTCTTCTAAGCTAGCAATACTAGCCGGTTAGCAGCAAATAATTCTACGTGGTTATACTCTGCTAGCGATGCAGCAACCGGCTATAACGGGCAATACTCTGCAACTATAATGTAGCTAGCAATGCAGTGTAGCAAAGAGGCAATAGATGCCACTGACTACAAGCATCTGTGATTAGGAACGGTTGTACGATAATTGCAAGGAGGGTTAGCTCGTGAGTTGTAGGAGCGAGGGAGTAGCTAAGACACGGCTCGAGTCGCAACGATAGCCAAGTAGTATACAGACAATAATATTTGAGTATGGCTTAGTCCAGATGGTTCTTAATATGATAAATCTCCTCACATCGACCATATCACTTTTCTAGTAGTAGATCCATATACCCAACTACTGCATGAGTAGTCTCACCACCGCAGCAAGACCTATACAACCTCCACTACAGCAACCAACCCAATCCCTCCCAGCAAGCAGGACAACCCTCATCCAAAACACTTCTTCAACCTCACCACCATTACCATCCCCCCACCCCCCCCACCTGCCCCCCTCTCCCCTTCGACCCTGAACTATCCCTCACCATCCCCAACCTACCCAGCATCCTCACCATCACCGACATCCTTCCCCCGGCCCTAACCCACGAAGAACACACCATCCCCGGCCCGCCCTCCTCCCCATCCACAACCCTAACCATCTCCATCTTCCGACGCAACCCAACCCACTACCCCCCTCCCAAACACTCTACCACATCCACAGCGGCGACCTCACAACTGGCAACCGCTTCACTTCACAAACCTACAAACCTTCCCCCTTCCCCTTCCTCACGAACCCCTCCCACCCACCCACAATCCTCACCTCCATCGAATACCGCCCTCGCACCCACGCACCCAATTCTAATCCCCCTAGAAGACACCTACACCGGCTTCCTCTAGCTCTACACGCACGCCCCCACCCTCGGCATCGACCAGAACAAAAAACCGTCACTGGTGTCTCCGCAGGCGGATGTCTCGCAGCGGGACTAAGTAGCCCTGCTTCTCCGGGAGAGGAACCCAGGGCCCATGCTATTCAGTCCGATGCTGGATGATCGGAACGACTCGGCGTCTGCAGTGAAGTTCGAGGGGATAGGGGTCTGGGATCGGAATGATAACGAGAGGGCGTGGAGGGCGTTACTTTGGGAGGAGAGGAGTAGGAGTCGAGTGAAGGGGGTTGTGAGTGAGTATTCGGTGCTTGGGAGGGCGGAGTGGCTGGGGGGTGAGGAGGAGGGGATGCCTAAGGGGGTTTATTTGGATGTGGGGAGTACGGATACGTTGAGGGATGAGGGGGTGGAGTTTGCGAGGAGGTTGTTGAGGGATGGGGTAGTGTGAGGTGCGTGTTTGACCCGGGGCGTTTTATGGGTTTGATTTGTTGTGTCCTGGGGCGGAGATTTCGGGGGTGGTTAGGGGGGAGTGGTTGAGGAGGAGGTGGTTTGGGAGGTGTGGTGCTTAGGTTGGGGTGGGTTACTGGTTTACTGGTGGACTTGGGAATTGGTTTATAGAGTATGGAGATTGGTGGAGGGAGTAATGCATTGATTGAATGAAAGGGTGGATTCTTCCAGGTTGAGCGAGTCTCTCTCTCCGTTGAATGAATGAGTGTGTGACAAAGGAGATCAAGTACAGGCCATACGTTTACGTTAAGATACATAATCTTAGCTTAGTTTCCCTTCCAAGTAATGGCTCATGCAGGAGAGGGCGTCGGGATAGGCGTAGCCGACGCAACTGACCCCAGGCCCAGTGTGTTGGTCGGACACGCCACGCGCAAGCCCTGCTGAAGGGCCGACAGACCAGCTGGGCCCAGCTTGTCAATGGTGGGCGGAGCCGGCACCGTGCCGACGTACGCATTGAAGTTGTAGATCCCGCAGATGCACGTGTTGACGATGTCCTTCAGGCTGGTGTCGCTGAGCACTGTCTTGCCGTCGCGGACGAGAGCGAATTTCTGCTGTCCCACGCCCATGGGCACAGTGAAGGCACTGGCGCCGGCTGGTGCATCGAACTTCTGGCTGTTTTGTCCCGAGGCCACTTGAATCGTGCCGGGAGACTTGAGCAAGGAGACAACGAAGACTGAATCCTGCAAGGACTCCCATCCGTTAGGGCGTCCGCGGAAGAAGTTACCGGAGGAGTTGTTGGGACTGCCGTCCATGGTAGTATCAGTGCTGTCGCAGTTGATGTTCCTTGGAGTAGGCCGGTACCAGTAGATCAACTTCTCTTCGGTGATGTACTTGTCGGGTGACTTTTCGCCGTTCTTGTATGCAGCGATGAAGGGCTTCGACATCTGGAGCCAACCGTCGTGGGGCCTGAATCGCTGGTCAGTATTGTCTTGTTGGCTGTGAAGACGGCGGGAAACTTACATGTCCATGACCCATTTGGATGCACCATCATCGGTGTGTGGTGAGGCCAGCGGTGCGATGTAGTGCGACTCGCCGTAGTCATTCCAGGTAACAATTTCCACAAACCGAGGTGCAAGGTTCAGAATCTCGAACCAGCGGTTGTACCACAACAGATCCGAGGGGAACGCCCAGTTCTTGCTGTAGGATACCTCACCACCGAAGTGCGTAAAGAACCATCCAGAAGCAGCTGTATATCATTAGCAAGACTGATTCTACACATCGACAACACAGAGGGATACATACGGGCAATGTAAGGCTTTCCATTCAAAGCATTGACGTATGCTTTATCGCCATCAGCAACAGTCACGTTGCGACCAGCGCTTGGTGCCTTGTTATCGCCATTGTTATCCCAGGCCATCCAGTTCAATGCTCCCTGGATGTTGCCAAAATTTCCCTGGCCAGGATGGAAGTTCGGTGCGAAGAATACTTCAGTGCCGGCGGCGGACTGCATCTGGTTGATGTCGAGACCATCTCCCGCGAACGAGGATGCGAAGACCTTGCCGTCGACTTTGAGTTGAGCCGGCAGGCTTCCGTACTGCCTGATCTTTTGTCCAACAGTAGATGCCTGTCCGGTATTG